ATTTAATATTTTAATTTAATTTAATTATTAAAATATAATATAAATATAATTGATTTAGTCATTTTTTATATTATATATAACTATATTTTTCAATTTATCTATTTTTAATTTTAAATTAAAAAATAATAATTTTTTAATAAATATATAATATATTATAGTAAAGTGTGTATTAATAAATGTTGATACACGTAGATTAAGTATGAACGTTTTTCGCACCTGGGCCTTGCGGTCTAGTGGCAATAGTTACCCCAGTGCATTCTCCCCTCCCCGGATTGGGTTCGAAACCCGCCCACTGCAAATATGTTCAAAAAAAAAAAAAAATAAAGTATGAACGTTTTTCTAACCTATTGCGCGGTTTTGCTGGTTTTATAAAATCACGCCGCCAAATAAACCAAAATGTGGGATTGATGCAAATATTTTGGTTTTTACAGAAATCATCAGGTTTAAATGGTTTACTATTGTACTTAGGTCTTGTGACCTAATGATTATATATTTTCTTATAAAGGTGTGTCACAGCCTTAAGCTTAGAGTTCAAATCCCCTCCTCTAATTGTAATCCATTAACAAAAAAAATAGTTTATTGTCAGTTCCTGCCTATACCAACTTATTTTATTTTATTTTATTATTATAAAAAATAAAATAAAATAAAGATAATTTTGTCTAATTACTCACCTCATTGGCATACTTACACCTCAAATTTAAACTTCTTTACTTCACTTAAAAAAGAAACTACTATTATACTATTTCTGTTATTAACCATACAAACCTCTTTCTTATTACAGTAATGTTACATGTATAAATTATTTTAAGAACTATACTTTATATGATATAAGGTGATATTGACATATTCACTCACACATCACCTCAAATAAGAAAAAAAAAATCATAAAATTACACTTTATATATTGTACAAAGATACAACCAAAACTCCTAGTTTGAATCCTAGCATATATGACACTTAACCAAAATAGAACCAATAGTTTCAGAAAGTAAGCTAAGCACATTATTAGTCAAATAATATGAAACTAAAATTTGAATTTTAATCAAGAAGAGGAAGAAGGAAGCGTTTTGAGTTCACAACTCCAACGATCGATAATGACTTGTCATATTGATTATGAAAGCGAAATTGACATCTTTTAAGCTTTCCATTGTCCAATTTCCCCCCTGCATTTGATTAAGACTAGCTAATCTTAGTTGTATTTTATAGCAACAGTCCAAATGCCTACAAAAGAAGAAAACTTAGTTTAAGATACAACAAATTGATGTACATTTCCTTGTGGCAATGCTATGCGTTCAAGAACGCGGCGTTGAAGGACCCACCATGAGAGAAGTCGTACAAATGCTTGCTCAAGCTAAACAACCAGATACATTTCACATACAATGATCAATGAGGCCTGATAATGGTGGATTTGCTCCATGGAATAGCTAGATGAGATTCTAAGCACCTGAGTCACTTGCACGTGGAAAAAAGGAAGAATTCGTTAAGGTGGGCGCTAGAGGTGTTGTCGGCATACGCCATCCGACACTTAACTCAAGCAAGGTTCGGGTGGAGATGAACGAGAAGGAAAGAAACTGCTAGGGAAGAAGAAGGATTCAAAAGATTACCTAAAATGATAAGGAGGAGGCTTTTTATGGTTCCTTCCTATATTTTGTCTCATAGTAGATAGATTTGTTAATTTTCATACATCATAGGTTTTTCATTTATTAAAATAATATAAATGACAAGTACGACAACTTCTGTTGGTAGGACATGTGGGCATAAGACAACAAGGATTAAGGCCAACACCCCTTGATACATTGAGGTGGACATGGTAGTGCTCTTCTATGCACACTACCTAATACAATGTGAGTCCCTTGCTCTTCGTACTTTTGTTTTTGCTTTAGCCTTAATGGTTGAATTTGGATTGTAGCTATAGCTTTCATGGCTTTCCAGTTACATAGATCCTGACTAAGATAGTTTGTTAGCTAGGAACCTCGGAGCTCCATGGGTATGGCTCCACGAGGTATTTTGTGGGGGTCTTCTTTCAATCAAACTTAAAAGGTCAATCCTACCTAACTCAGTTATTCCTTGAACTATGTGAACTAATTAGGAGTTGCTACATGTATGGTAGGTATTTAGTGTGTATCAAGACCAATGCAAGATAAGTTTATCATTAATGCCAACCGATTTTGTATACAAGCTTTTTTGCTACTCATTTCTATTTCTTTTTTCCTTTTTTTTAGGGTGAATAAAGATGCATTAAAAGGAAGACGAAATACAACTAACAACGTGGGTAGAGAGTCGCACCAAGGTCAGCAAAATAATACATCAGAAGCCCAGGCAAGCAATAGTCAAAAACCAAAAGCACAAAGAAGAGCTTATGGCCTTGATGTTTGGTTTGTTATAGCCTTAAAGGTAGCAAAATTTGCAACAATACTAAAGTGGATGTACTAATGTATTTCATGATCATGTTGGCTCCATTATTATGTCATGAATAATTTGGAATATGGTACAAAGAAATGAAATGAGTCAAGTTTCTTGATTAGCCATGCAAAGCAACCCTCTACGATTGCACCATCTTTGGGGTATTAGGCTATAGATTGAAACAGACAAACTGTTATGTCTATTATTGCTATCTTGTGAATAATATATACAGAAGCATCAACATAAAATCCTAGCTGATATGAAACAATATATATGATACAGTATAATAAACATATAAATTACAAATTGAATGAATCCTAGAATCATGGGCTCATTGATTGCTGATCACATGGAAAAAGCTTGAGATATAGTTGCCTTAAGATACCCTCGCAAGATGGAGGTGTTATTAGCAACACCAATCTTGGAATGCAAACTAGAAAAGTGAGAAGTGGACAAAGCCTTGGTAAGGCTATCAGCGAGTTGATCATGAGAAGAAATGTGTGAAACATGAAGGATTTTCTGATTGACTAGATCCCGAACGAAGTGTAAATCAACAGCGATGTGTTTCATACAAGAGTGTAGAACGGGATTGAGACTCAAGTAAGTGGCACCAATGTTATCACAAAAGAGAGCAAGAGAGCCAATACCAGAAACTCCAAGTTCCAATAGTAGATTGTGAACCCAAACTAGTTCAGAAGCAGTAGATGCTAAGGCGTGATATTCAACCTTTGTGGAGCTCCAAGCGACTGCCTTCTGTTTGGTAGTGTGCCAAGAAATGGGATTAGAGCCTTGAACGACCAAATAATCAGTGGTACTAACACAATTAGAATGATTGCTAGCCCAATCAGCATCGGAGTAGGCATGCAAGGATAGAGCAAGTTGAGGCCGTAACAACAACCCATGAAAGTCGGTCCCTTGCAAGTAGCAAAGAACACGTTTAGCCAACTGCCAGTGAGCGTCAGTGGGCTGATGCATAAATTGAGACAGCTTATTCACAGCAAAGTAGAGATCCGGACAAGTGAGAGCAAGATACTGCATGAAGCCAAGAAGCCGCCAATAACTAGAACCATCAAAAAGAGGTGAACCAGAACCAAGATGCAATGAAGTGGAAGCAACAAGAGGGGTGGGCATAGGCTTGGCCTCATGCATGTTGTATTGCTAGAGAAGATTAGTAATGTACCGATGTTGAGATAAGAAAAGACCAATAGCAGTGAGAATTGCTTCAACACTGAGGAAAAAATTAAGAGGCCCCAAATCCTTTAAGGAGAAACGAGCTTTCATGATCTAAAAAAGAGATTGAAAAATAGAAAAGTCACTTCCTGTAATTATAATATGATCAACATAGATAAGAAAATAAATCCAAGTAAACCTTTTGTGAAAAATAAAAAGAGATGAGTCTGACTTAGATTGAGAGAAGCCCTAAGAGATAATACAATTTTTAAGCTCAGTCAACCATGCCCAAGGAGCTTGCTTTAGGCCATATATAGACTTCCGTATTTTGCACACATGCTGAGAGAAACGGGGATCAACAAACCTTAATAGTTGCTGCATAAACAATTGTTCCCCAAGATGACCATGTAAAAAAGCATTATTAATATCCAATTGCTGAATAACCCACTGCTAGCTGACTAGAATAGATAAAATAGTATGAATAGTAGTAGACTTAATAATAGAACTAAATGTGTTGAAATAGTCAGATCCTAGACGTTGATGAAAGCCTTTGGCAACCAAACGTGCCTTATAACACTCAATACTACCATCTTTAGCTTGTTTTAAATGAAACACCCACTTACAACCAATTAAATGATGATCAGGGGATGGAGGAACAAGTTCCCACGTACCTTGACGCACAAGAACACTAAATTCTTTATACATAGCTCATCTCCAATTGGGATCTTTCAAAGCTTGGGTCACACAAGTGGGTTCACTAATAGGTGTAGGACACTGGGACACAACTTGGAAAAGGATTTTGGGTTTAAAAATATTATTCAAGGAGCGAGTGCGCATGTGGTGTAATTGGGGATGAGGATTTGGTCGAGCCACACTACTTGTGGCTTGGGTTAGGGAAGTGGAGGGTTGTGAGGCTTGGACTAAGGATAAGGAAGGGTGACTAGGAGTGGAATGGGCTAAGGATGTGGGGCTATGAGGGCTGGACTGGGCGGGTAGGTGGGCTAGTAACGAATTCAGTGATGGGGCTACAAGAAAAAGGGTGGGATTAGATAAGGGATGTGACTGGTTAGGAGAAGAACTAGTAGAAGGTAGGGGAAGGGATCAGTGTGCTGGTGATGGGATTGATAAAGGAGTAGCTGCAGGAAGAGGCACCTCTTGAGACACAAATTCATGGGGAGCACCAGTAAGAGAGGGAAGTGACAATGGTGAATTACAAAGATCAGACGTAGAGGTAGAGGTAGGTGAAGGCTCATTGGCAAGTAAAAAGGTAGAGGGTAAAACAGGGATAGTGGACTTAGTTTTGTGAGGAAAGGTAGACTCGTCAAACACGACATGGTGGGAGAAAAACAATTTTCTAGAACCCAAATCCAAGCATTTGTAACCCAAGTTGTTTGTAAAATATCTTAAAAATAAATAGGGACAAGAACGATATCGTAATTTGTTGGAATTATAAGGTTGAAGCCATGGATAACACAAGCACCCAAAAACACGAAGTTTACGAAAATTGGGACAAACATGAAATAGTTTTTCAAATGGAGAAATTTTTGAAACTGATGATGAGAGTTTGTTAAGTAAGTAAATAGAGGTTTTTAAAGCATAAGTCCAAAACTTGGGTGGAAGGGAGGTAGTATGAAGCAACGCAAGACCAGTCTCAACAATATGACGATTGCATTGTTCACTTATTCCATTGAGTTATGGGGTATAAGGAGGGGTGATAAAATGAGAGATCCCTATTGTAGAGAGAAAGTGACGAAGGGCAACATATTCGCCCTCGCCATTAGTATGTAAGTTTTTGATTTTGTGCCCAAATTGAGTTTCAACAAGATTTTTAAATCGTGGAAATATAAGAGACACATCAGACTTGCATTTAATGGGATAAAGTCATACATATCAATTAAAAAAGTCAATAAATAAGACAAAATAATTCAAATCATCAATAGAGGGAACATGTGCAGGACCCCGTACATCAGAAAAAATATTATCAAGTGGAAAGTGAGTGGTAATGGAAGAATCTGAAAAAGGAAGCTTATGACTTTTGGAACAAGCACAAGATTCACATAATGAAAACTTTATTTTATTCGACAATGGTAAATTGGAAACATTAGTACTTTGTTTAAGGGTCTTCATAGAAGGATGACCTAAGCATAAATGCCAAATTGCCAACGAAGTACGCTCTCCCACTAGTGTTGTTGGTTTGAAGCTAATTTTTCTCGGTATGTGATAAATCCCATGAATGTTTGGCCTTTGGAATAGTGTTTCGTTCATCCAACAATCCTTCACCAAAAAATAATTTGTGTGAAATTCAACATAAACATTAGCATGTTTACACAATTGAGAGACAGAAATTAAATTGTGAGAGGTAGAAGGAACACACAAAACATTACGCAAAGGTAACGAGGATTGAGGGATAGATAGTGTGGAGTGTCCCACATGTGTGATTTTCAAACTTGTTACATCACCAATATGGAGTTCATCAGGACCATTGTATTCAAAATGAAGTGCCAAGTTAGCCAAGTCAATGGTCACACAGTTGTTGGCAGCAGAATCCAATAGGTAGTCCTAAGAAGAAGTAGTAGAGGAGAAGACCAAATTTTCCATGGGCCTGAAAGCTTGCACACAGTAGCTGGGGCAATTTCGAGCAAAGTGGCCTACATGACCACACAGTTGGCAACCTAAATTAGGGGGCTGAGTTGTGGGTTTGGGTCCAAAATTACGACACTGGTTTTGATTGCCACGATTGGAAGAGTTCTGCCCATTCTGATTGCCACAGAATGCTTGTGGAAGGTGGCAACCAAGAGAAGAATTAGAGTTACCTGCACTCAATAAAGAAAAGGAATCAGTACTGGAATTAATGGAAGTAGCAGCATAATGAGTTGTCACTGGTGTGATCTCAGGACGGGCTTCTTCTCGTTTGAGAATTTCTTCATGAGCAACCAATCTATCATGCAAGTCATCGAAGGAAAGAGAGGAGTCCCGTGCTTGAAGAGAAGCTGCAATCTCCCGAAACTCAAGGCTAAGGCCATTAAGAATGTAAACTATACAATCATCATCGTTGAGTGGACGATCAATGGTTCCCAATTCATCAGCAACAATTTTGAGATCTCTCAAATAGTCTACAACTGACCGGCTATCACGTCTCATGTTTTGGAGACGTTCTTTTAAAATGATCACCCAACTGCGAGAGCGATTACCATAAAGCCTCGCTAATGTTTTCCATGCCTGTTATGTTGTGGTAGCAGTAGCAATATAAGGGGTAATGTTCTCCGAGACGGAGGTGATAAGAGCATGTCGCAAGAGTTGATCTTGATGAGACAACAAGCTGTACTCTGGTGCGGTTGCAACTGGACAAGGGTTCCTGCCATCAAGGTATCCATCTAGTTCGTAACCTGCAAGTAAAGAAGTAAATTGAGCCTTCTAAGACATATAGTTGATGGGCGTTAGCTTTACAGGGAATGCGGCGAAATTGAAAGATAATGGATTTTTGGTGAGTCCAAGATTGAGAACAGTTGTAGCAGAGTTTAAGGAGGTCTTGGATGCAACAGAGTTGGGGGATTCATCATGAGTGGCCCTGATCAAGACTCGTGAGAGCAATAGTTGCTCTGATACCACTATTAGGCTATAGATTGAAACAGACAAACTGTTATGTCTATTATTGTTGTCTTGTGAATAAATAATATATACAGAAGGATCAACGTAGAATCCTAGTTGATATGGAAGCAATATATATGATACGGTATAATAAACATATAAATTACAAATTGAATAAATCTTAGAATCATGGGCTCATTGATTGCTGATCACGTGGAAAAAGCTTGAGATATAGTTGCCTTAACATGGGGAAAATGTTCGTTAGTTCGTACTTGAAACTTTTCTTGGTACACACTAAACAACATCAATATCTTTACTCTTTAGTATATGAAAACAATTTGGGGGCTGAACACTAACAAATCAACCCAAGAAACCAACTGCAGGAGACATCAAAATGATGCTTTCTTATTCAAATTAATAATAATAAGCTTTTTGAAATTAATTTTTCTATATATATCCAACAAGGTAATGGGCATATATTTTCAATACTTCAATAAACATCACGTATCAAAACCATAGATCTAACCATCAGTCATGTGGTCTAGTAGTAGAGTTACATGTGCTCTTAACGGTAAATTTAGATTTAATCCTTAATCTCTACATGTTTAAAAAAAAAAAATCAAAGCCGTAGATCTATATATTCTTAAGTCAAATATAGATGTGAGAACTAATATATATTCTCAATATGGGTAATAATTAGTGTACCTTCGATTTAACACATCTGTCAATACTCATTAATTCAATCATTAAATTTTATAAGTGAAATTTTCCTCTCCTTGAATTCAAAATTAAAAATAATAATTTCTTAATAAATATATTATGAAATGTGTTGAATTAAAAGATATACCAATTATTGTCCTTTCAATATTTGAATAAGAATTTGGTATCAAAACTATAGAATTCTATATTTTCAAGTCAAGCACAAGTATGAGAAAATACTTTACTCTATACCTGCTCACCTCTAGGGCCTTGTTTGGTATGCAATTTCTCTAGAAAAAGATGTTAAAGAACCAATAGAAAATATGGCTAGGCTTGGCTTAAGAAACTTTTTTTTTTTTAATGAAATCAAGATACAATATAACTGATTAGGTTTAAATATCTTTTTGGTTCCTCTACTATTGAAAAAAACCTCTTTTTAATCCTTATACTGAACTTATACTGAAAAAATCTCTTTTTCGATCTTTATTGTTTAAAATCTGACCCATTTTTTGTTTTTTCATTGAATTTTTGTTGATCTGTCACGTTAATTAACATAATTAATTGATGTGAAAATTACATAGATAAAATATAAATCCATGTAAGCATTTTATATGAATATTTGAAACCACCTATACAAATTAATTTTTTTTTTCTTAATTCATGAATTAAATGCATTAAAACATAACTAACTTTAGTTTCTTTATTTTTTTTCTTTCTCCTCGTCCTTATCCTCCTCCTTTAATTTCTTCATCTTCTTCTTTCTCCTCATCCTTATCCTCCTTATCCTCCTTCTCATCCTTGATATCATCTTCATCGTTACTTTTGCCATCTTCTTCATATGTAGTAGTAGTAGATAATTGATTTTATTAAAAAAGAAAAAAAGAAAAAGTAGCTCATTTTTCTTATAAAAAGACGAAGTAGCGCCCATTTTTAAGCCCACGTTAATCAGATTGAAGTAGCTCATTGTTTTGGTTATGCTCATAATCATGGAGAATTTGGGAAAGGGGACTACAAGAAAATGGAGCGGGATTTGAACCTTGCGACTCAAGGTGAAATAGTTCTTTACAATAGAGTGGGTGGCCACTTGGGTTATTAATTAGGACTTCTCAAGTAACATATCTTTTTTTTTATTGGTCAAAAAAATAATAATAGAAGAGAAATCTATTTATATTTAAATTTTATACATTATATTTATATAAAATCTTAATAATTTTATTTTTCAATTTCAATTATTGAAATTTATTCACTTTTTATCATATTTATTAAAAATAATTATTTTTTATAAATATGTTAAAAAGTAAATAAATTTTAATTATTAAAAATAAAAATAATTAATTAAAAATTTATATTATAATAATAATAATACACAAAATTATATTACAATTTCACGCTTTGGAGCCATCAAAA